AATGTTCTGGAAAGTGATTGCTACTGCCAATTGAGTAGACAGGACCTTCTCATTTTTGTGCTAAAAATTCAGGCTAAACAGGTACATTTTTCAAATATACATTGGCCTTCAGTTCTCCAAATCACAATGTATGGCTCCTGTGCAGTGGTCTATGAACTTGCCAGAAACATTATTTACAACTGTCTGAGTCATTCCTGCAAAGACAGAGTATTACATGGTTGAAAATATATGGTTGATCCCTAAAACTACAGAGGAAATCCCTGAGTCCTCAGGCACTGGTTTAGGTGGAGATCAGTATGCAGCTATACCAGCAAACTCTATTTCACCCAGGAGAACTTAGCAGCTAGTATTAAATAAATTCTAGACGGCAAATTTCCAAAGGAACTTCAGAATTTGCAGGTCCTAATTTTTGTTTGACAAGTAAAATAGGCCAATGAAATTTAACAGTTAATGTTAACAATATGTATATGGTTTGTATTTTGATGACAACTGAAAAAATAACTCTTATTACTATATCACTTTTGGACAGTAATGTTAATTCATGTGTACTATTAAAGTGAGTAGAATTTGTGTATACAGACATAACTGTCTCCAAGTTTTCAATGTGTAATTTATAAGCATTATAGCTTATTATTATTAACTGTCTTTAAGAACATTAACTCTTAGAAGTATGTTCTTAGTGCAAATGAAAAACAACTGGCCTTATTTTATCACTCTAGACTTCAGAGAAAACCACGTTCTGTACTGTGCCCGGTGGCCTGGCAGCAGTGAGGAGACAATTTGAGAAAGTGCACCTGATCGCTTCACGAAAGACCTTTGTTCAGTACCAGCACAAATCCGTACAGGTAACAACAGCATTTTTAATACTAACAAATGAGGTCTACCCTGCTAGATAGCTTGAGGAAAAAAATTGACAGTTTACTGAAGAGTTTTCATTATGACTAAAGACAACTTTTCTCTCATGTTCATACTCAGAATTTTCTCTTTGAGATATACTACAGCCATCATATATTTTTTTTATGCAGAGAGACACTCAATATAGGTGATCTTAGGCTTACAGCAAATAGATGAGTAAAGCAGATTACTACCATAGCAGTATTTCACACGGAACCTTGTCTGTAATTCATTACCAAGTATCATGGTGATATTTTGCATTTATTGCACTTGACATGATGTTAAGCCATTCTCATTCAAAAGGAGTTTCCTGCTCCTGTTGAATTAAATCTAATAAACTCCCCTAAACAGATCTAAAATTGCACAGAAGAACCCAGATGCTACATAAAAGTAGTTATTTTAGATAAAAGGTCTTCACATTTCATTACCTCATTAGCATACACCATGCAAAATTGTTGTAGGAGATGATTTTGGACTATTTGAGATCCCCCTATAATAAAACACATTGCACGATCTGCCCTGTGCACTCTGAAAAACAGTAATGGCACAGTAAATTGCACTTCTTTGAGAGATTTTTAAGGAATATCACTTTCAAACTTTGTAGAACAGGACACATCAACATTCTGCCATAGGTTCATTTTCATGTTAAATAAGTATTATCATATCTACTGGTCATCGCTCATTTCTTACACATTAATGCAAATAACAACGATTTGCACGGACAAGTCAAACTCTGGTTTGTAGAGGAGAAGACACAGTTTGCTGCAGGTGTATTACAGCATTTTTAACTGAGCAGAAAAATCCCATGGTTAGGCATAAACACACTGGAGCACAATCTTTGGTAACAGGAAGTGTTATCACACCTCTGGAGATTGTCTAGTCAGAGCAGGTTCCCCAGGATGGCCTCCAGGTGGGTTCTGAATGCCTCCAGAGACAGAGACTCCACCAAATCTCTGGGCAGCCTGTTCCAGTGCTCTGACACCCTCCAAGTAAAGAAGTTTCTCCTCATGTTTAGGAACTTCCTATGTTCAAGTTTGCACCCGTTACCTCTCGTCCTGTCACTGGGCACCACTGAAAAAAAGGCTGGCCCCATCCTCCTGACACCCACCCTTTAAGTATTTATAAGCATTGATAAGATGCCCCCCTCAGTCTTCTCCTGAAAAAAAAAGACCCAAGTCCCTCAGCCGCTCCTCATAAGAGAGCTGTTCTAGTCTAATTAGGCAAGTGCTTTTCAGGTGATGTGGTCCAGCCTAGGTGCCATTTACCTGAAGAAAGAAATGCAGAACTGTGTACAGAAATTATGTGACTTTTTTTTCTTACTTGGAACCAAATAGTTTTATTTCTGTGATGTGAAGATGCGTTTTCCCTGGCCTAGCAGTGATGTCTAGCTCTCCACAAAGCTACTATGATGGTTCCATTGCTTCATTAAAGACGTGACCTCCAAGCACACTTCTCCATGTATTTGTCCTCTGTGGCTAACTGAGGAGGCGCTCTCAAATCATCAGCAGAAATAGTCACGTTCACAGGAAATAAAATCACTCAGACTATATGGAACAATCTTTAAATTTAGGTTAAATAACTTACTGCAGGACCATAAAATCCCATTTCTATCTAACATAACTGCACTCTCATGGAAAATGGGATTATACACTTAGGTACTTGCAAGATTATTCAAGGTCACTGAATCAATCCTGGGGCAGAACAGAGAAATCATGTACTTTGAAGACAGATTTCCAGATCTGGATAAATTCAAACTATTAATCCAAGCTAAAATAAGGCAATAATTCATTTTTAAACAGTATCCTGAATAGCTGAACATTTTACTACATACTCAATTATTGCATAAAGAGAGCTTGTCTTTGCATTCAAAATATTGACATCAAATATGCAAAAAATTAGTTATCTTTCTGTTTTTCTCAGGCAGCAGCCCTCACTCATTGCTCTCTTCACTGAAAGGGAGATTGGCTCCTTATGAAAGGTGCCATATTACGAGTAGAATGCACTACACTCTTGTCCAGGATGGTGAACAGCAATGAAAACTGATCACAGAACTGCCGTGTGTTTGTTTAGAGACCTGGTCTTTAATTTGACCACTGGCATCACCATTTACCACCACCTTTTGTCGTCAGCCACCAAGCTGAGCAGAGGTCATGAGCTTCAGCGTTACTGTTCCGCAGCTGCCGTCCCGGGGGGTTTGCT